GCTATACCAGCTCAAGGAAATGCAGTAAGAGTATTAAAAAAATAAATTAAAAAAATAAAAACTTTCTGGAACTCTAAGATGATTTTTAAATTTTAGAATTTAGCAGTGGAAGGGCCAGCAAGTAGCCTGGTACTTAATCCCACATAGTTGACTCCACAGTTCAAGTTTCAGACCCAATAGCTTGAAAACCACACAGGGTGCATATGCATGTGTGCCCAAAATCCCAAGTGGAGGATGAAGGGAAAGGGATTGTGGGCTAGCCATCCTCTGGGTGGTGATTTCTCACTTTCCCTCTCTGCCTCTCTCTGTATCTTTCGGTGAGCACACCCGCACTATAGCAAAAACCTAAAATATATTTTTCAAAAATTAAAAATTCAAAAGCAGAACCAAAAAAATAGTTTAAAGTAACTTATTCAGAGAGGAATTTTGATGGGCCAAATTTTACTAACTGAATTAAAACCTGATACCTCAGATTGAAAGGACACACACAGCCTCAGACTGGATCAATGAAAAAAGACACACATATATCCTCCTAAGATTTGGTGAAAGGAAAAAAAAAAAAAGAAAACACATAAAACCTAGTCCTCTGCAAGCTCAAAGCCTTCTTACCTTCTTTCTCTATACAGTTGTTGCCCCTTGTCTATGGGGGATATTTTCCAAGACCACAGTGGATACCTGAAACTGTGGATAGAACTGAAAACTATTATGTACTGTTTTTTCCTACACAGACATACCTGTGATAAAGTTTAACTTATAATTTAGGCAGAGTAAGAGGTTAGCAACAACAGTAGCAGTTAATAATAAAATACAACAATTATAACAATATACTGTGATAAAAGCTGTGTGTGGTCTCTCTCTCTCTCAAAATATTATACTGCACTCACCCTTTTTCTTGTAATGATGTGAGATGATGACATGCCTACATGATAAGAGGAAGTGAGGATGTAGGCTTCGTGATGTGTTGTTTAAAACTTGCAAATTATTTCTTTCTAGAATTTTCCATGTAGTACTTTCTGACTGTGGAAACAAGCCATGGAAAGTGAAAGTGCCAATGAGGGGAGGGGGAGACGACACTATTGTTAGTGCTAGAAACCTATCCAAAAAGGGCCAGAGAAGCAAAGCTCTTACAATGTATAATTTTACTTGGATTCATGTCTTGAATAGTACTTACTGATGCACAAAATCTTACATTGTTTTTGAGTTTTTAACATTTTTTATTATTGATAGATAATAGAATATAGACTTCTAGATTTCCTGAACCATTGAGTTTATGAATGTGATTAGTTTCATTATAACCCTGTGCTTGTATTTGAAACCTTGAAGTATGGTATTTTAATTTCACAGGCCTGTGGACTTTCACCTAGAGACGTTACCACAATTAAACTTCTCAATGAAACTAGAGACATGTTGGAAAGGTATGTGTACTGTATGTAACAGGAAAATAATTTGTAGTTTGAATGTCTTTAAAACCATGTTTTAGTTTTTCTTGAACTACATATTCAACACAATATTGTATTACAATTAATTTTGAATCTTTCCTCCTGCCTTTGGGTAGGCCTAAACTGAAGGGAAACAAGAATTTTTTCAAGATTTTCATACCTTATCTATGTACTTCCCTAGCTTGTAGATTCTGGTGTACTGGTTGAGGAGTGATACCGTACTTAATGTGGGTGTGTGTGTGTGTGTGTGTGTCAAAAAACCGAGTTATATTTGTTATAATTTTATTTGTGACTCTATAACAGAGACAGTATGGCTTTAAATATTTTTTTGAGAAAATATTTACATGTCAACTACTCAAACTATTGAAAAGCAAATGCCCCTCACACAAGTCACACATAAACCTTCTCAATTCAGCCCTGCCCACCAAATATTCTGTGATATACCATCTACTAGCAAAGATCAGTCTCTTTTTCTTCCTTCAAAGTCTTCCTCAAGATAATCCTCTGGTTGTGGTTGCTCTTTTGCAATCTCTACTGATTACAATGCCGGATGGAAAAGTCCAGGTTATTTTATGGTAGGAATTCTTTCATATAGCTTCTCTAATCCTCTCTGCCAGGGAGAACTGTTTATGGTGCCAGGTCATCTTTCCAAGAGCTTCTGTTGGCTTAATTGAGATCTACCTTAGTTCCATAGTTTTCTGGTTAAACTTCATATATGACATTCCAGTGAAGGCCCTGTCTAATAAACAAGTGTTTCCAATGTCTGATTCAATATAACAGGTATTATTGAATTTATGCAAGTAACCCTTCTGCCACAAAAATAAGAATACTCCCAAATATTTTCCAGTTCCAGAGGGATCAGGAAGGAAGAAAAGTTTGTTTGCATTTAAAAAAAATAAACAAACAGTAATAAAAATATTTTAACAATTTGATGAACCTATCAACTTAAAAGGAAGCAAAATCCTTAAATTGGGAAAAGAAAGCATGGTTAAAAAAATCAGTAATGTACTCAGAAGTCATAAAATTCTATTTCACTAGTTCAATCTTATGTTCAATCTCTCTTCTATTGACTCTGCAATGTCACTGTGGTCTGATCTTTCCATTTAAATCCTGGAAGTTAACATTCAATGTTATTATTGATATTTCTTGTCCCTAGCATTAAGTTGGTCATTTTCTTGGTTACTTTTTTGTTTGTTTGTTTGTTTTGTTTGTTTGTTTTAGAGTTTTTTGCTATAGGGCACGTGCGCTTGCCAGAAAGACAGAGAGAGACAGAGAGACAGAAAGCAAGAAATCACCTCCCCAGGGGGGATGGCCATGCCGCAATCCCTTCTCCATTCTCCTCTCGGGATCTTGGGCACGCATGCACACGCGCCAGGTGTGAGTTTAAGCTACCTGGTCCGGGACACGAACCACAGTAAACTACATGGTAATCCATTGGCATAGCCATTACGCTAACTGCTAGTCCTTCTTGGTTACTTTTTGTTCTTTTATTTCTGTATGTGTATCTTTGGTTTTCCTGATAGAGCATTCCTTTCAGAACTTCTTGAAGAGTGAGTCTGGTATTGGCAAATTCTTTCAGGTCTTGTTTATCTGAGAATGATTTTATCCTTTCTTTCCATATGAAGAATAACCTTGCCAGGTACAGTATTCTTGGTTGAAACTGTTTTTCACTAAACACTTTGAATATTGTTTCCCATTTTTTTCTTTGCTCACATTGTATCTTTTCTTTTAACTTTATTTTTTTTTAATTTTTTCATTTCTTTTTCTTTTATACATTCAATCACATTATTATTTGGCTTACAAAATTGATATTTCAACAGGTGAACATTTCTCCCTAGTACAGTTGATAAAACTACAAAATATCTTAAACAGATAATACCACATTTCTTTGTGCCATTAATGCTTTGCCTCCCTATTTTTCTTTTAAATGTCCTTCCTCAGACCCTCCTCTTTCACACACATTGTATCTGGTATTCGCATCTATATACTGTGCTTCTATATCCTTTAGTCACATTGGATCTGATGATAGGTCTGATGTTAGCCTGATGGGATAACCTTTATAAGTAACCTGATGTTTTTCTCTTGCCAATTTTAGTATCTTGTCTTTGTGGATTTTGCCAATCTGGCTATGATGTGCCTTGGAGAAGATCTTCTTGGGTTGATTCTGTTAAGAGTCCTTTGTATTTCTTGGATCTGAATATTTTAATGCCTCTCTAGATTTGGAAAGTTTTCTTCTAGGATTTCATAGAATTGATTATCAGAGCCCTTATTAGTTTTTTCACCTTCTAGGATACTGATTGTCCAGATATTTGGGCACTTAATGGTATCTAGTATTTCTCATATAGTATTCTCATTTTTTTTGTTGTTGTTATTTTCCCAGTTTTTTTGGGGTTGTTTTCTAGGTCAGAGGTTTTGCCTTCAACACCCAAGATTTGATCTTCTGCATGGACTAATCTGCTTTTAATACTTTAAAGGGAAGTTTTGATTTCCTGTATTGCAGTCTTCATCTCTGACAGCTCCATTTGATTCTTTTTTATGGTGTGTATTTCCTCTTTCAAATCATGTAAGAACTTTCTCACCTCCTGGAACTCCTTCTCTCTTCTCCTGTGTCTTATGGAGTTCATTGTCTCTCAGCTCTTGCATCTCTTTTAGTTTTGTCACTATGAATATTCTGAAGTCTCTATCGGACATTTTCATGAGTTCTACTGTACTGTCTGTGGATGATGATGGATTGTTCTTTTACCTTAGGGGAGAGATATTTTTTGGTTTCTCATGTTTCTTGTGCCTCTGTAGTGGTTTCTGGTCTTTCTGTGACAAAAATCTCTCCTCTACTTGTCTGAGTATTTCAGGGCCTAGAAGATGCAGTTTAGAGCATAGCTTCCCTGAATATACCAGGACACACCTCAGATTTAAAGTGGCTTCTTGTCCAATATTTCAGGGATCCAGAAGATGCAGTTTAGAGTATAGCTTCCCTCAGTGTTTTTATTTTGAGAAAAACTTTACAGGATAATTCTGATATACAGTGTGCATACTAGTAAATGTTTAACAGCTACCTCTTTGAAACAGTAACAACACCAACAACACTACCAGAAACAAGTTGTAACCACAGCAGAGCTCAGGCTACCAATTTGAAGTTACTGACTGCCCAGTTAGATAGTTGGGAAGAGTTGCTCTTTCAAGCCTGCACCAACCAGCTCTAGCTAATAGCCCTCAAATATATGCACATACCTGCACGTGTTCCTGTGTATTCTTTCTCTGTATCTAACTTAAGAACTACTTGCGCTAAACCTTTTAGAATATACAGTACTGTTCCTAAAAGCTTCAAGTGATACAAAATTTTCCTTTTTTTTCTAAGTTGAGTATTACTATTTTAAATCACCCAAGAGAGAGCCAGGATGGTAAAAATTGAAAGAGCACCAGACTATTCGTTAGAAGACCATATGACTTAGAGTTAAGGTTGGCTCTTCTATTTACTTTTAGCTTTCAACCTTGGCTGAGCCACTCACACTCTCTGAGGTAATTTTACCATTGTATAATATGAGTAGTAATACCTGTCCTTCCCACTTCATCATTAAGTGATAAAAAACATCAAAGTCCTTTTTAATTGAAAATACTGTATGCCTCCTTGGGATAATTTTAACTTGTTTTCTTTAGTTTCATTTTCTGAGGAAGTAATTCCATCCTTATAATAATTTTTCCTGTTCTTAAAAAAAACTATTAAGTTTTTAGGTTAACTCAGGAACTGAATTTGTCAAGTTCTAGTCTTTTCTCTTTTTACAGTAGCAGTTCCCACTTTTTTCTTGTAATGGTTTCTACCAGATCATTCCATGAAGCTCTGGGAAAGGTCATCAGTGACCTTTCACCAAATCCAGTGAACCCGTAATATTCATCTTACTTGACCTTGCTGCAACGTTGATCTACCTTCCTCGAGATTCTTCACCATGATAATGTAATCTCCTAAGTTTTCTCCCAACTCTTAGATGATTTCTTCTTAGGTTCCTCTAATTCTGTCTTTCCTTTGAACATCAGTGTTTCCCATGTATTTGTTCTTATTTCATCTCCAAGTGCCCCAGGGAATTCTACCTGCATGTTAATGACTCCCAGATTTATAGCCCTACTCTTCCATTCTCAGGAGTTGGTCTAGATTGAAATCTCTACATGTCAAAGGTAGAACTAATTAGTTCATGTATTTATTCATTTGTCTCATTGAACTATATATTCATCACATATTTATTAACCATTTATGGTATATGCATATCATTCTAGATGCTAGATCTCCAGGCCTTCTGAAATTTATATTTCAGTGGGAGAGAAAAACAAATAAATTTAATGTAAGTCAACTATTTATAACATGGTCGATAAAACACAAAGCAGGTTAAAGGGCTAGAAGTTTACCAGGGATGCAGTTTTTGATAGATTGGTTAGAAAAGGCTTCCCTGAGGAGATGTCATTTGAGCAGAACATGTATGTACTGTGGCTGTGAACCTTGTGATGTGGAGTCTGCAGTTCAAAGCAGAGAGACAGCTGCAGAAATCTTAATGCTTGGTTTGTTCAGGGAACAGTGAAGATACCAGCATTGCTAGAACTGGAAGCATGACAGGGAAATGAAGTTGGAGAAATAGGCAGGGACTAGAGAATGTTGGGCATGTGTCCATGGCAAGGAATTTGTTTTTTTGTTAGATTCATGGAAAGCACGAGAGAGTTTTAAGCTGGATAACAATATGCTGTGTTTATTAAACATCCTTCTCATTACTTTATGGTAAATTGATGATTAAGAGATAAGAATAGAAGACAGGAACCAGTTCAAGAATTGAAGTAGCTGGGGCCAGCAGGTGACGTGGGTCTTCAGGCAGTGGATTCCCATATGACTGACCATGATTTGAGTTCCGGACCTGGTGGCCTGAAAATCATGTTGGATGCTTGTGCATGCATGCCAAAGTCCAAGGAGTAGAACAGAGGAAAAGGGGATTGCAGCATGGCCATCCACCTTAGTGGATGATTTCTCACTTTCCCTCTCTCTAGCTCTCTATTCAGAGAGTGCACTCATCATTTGGCAAAAACCTAAATAAAAATTTAAAAAGAAAAGAATTGAAGTAGCCTAATTAAGAGATGGTCATAGTTGGTGGTAGCAGCAGCAGAAATGACAAGCAGTTAAATAATGGGTCAGTTTTAGAGGTCGAAGTTTAGAAGATTACAGAAATCCAACAGGCTGTGTTTATTGGCACTTGAATATGCAAATCTGGATTACAAGAGTTAGTTAATGCATTAAAATATATTTTTGGTTTCATCAATTTATAAGTGGTATTTATATGTGTGTGAAATAGGAAGCAGGGTCATTTATTTCAAAAAGCTCAGGAAGTTCATTTCTTTCATTGGCCTAAATAAATACTATCAGTAAGAATAGAAATGAACAGTTATTTTTTTTCATTGCTTCCTATAACTATTTATTTATTTTAAAGAATTATTTATTTATTTTATTCTGTTTGTTATTTTTTTTAATTTAGGCTTTTTACTTTATTGGAAGTTATTTCTTACATTCAATTACATTATTTAGCTTGCAAAGTGAACATTCCAATGTGTGCATTTCTCACCAGTCCAGCTGATAGTACTATAAAGTTATCTTCAGTTTTTGAGCACCTCTGCTCCAAGCACTGTTTTACGTGTCTTAACTCATTTAATCCTTACAGTAACTCTGTGATGTAGGTCCTAAGGTGATCTTTTCTTCAGTTTCCATTTCTTCTATTTCTGCGCCCTTAAATCATTTTTCCTTCTTTGAGCCCTACCATGTTGCCTTTAAAAGAGAACAAAGTGTAATTAGCTTGCCATGTAACCTAGCAGTTCACCCTTAGGTACCTACCCCAGAGAAGTGAAAGCAAGTATCTACACAAAGACTTGCTAAGAAATTTCGTAATGGCATTATTTATTTACCACAGCCAAAAAGGGGTTATAATCAAGATGTCCATCAATTGATAAACTAATAAGTAAAATGTGACGTATTCATACAATTGAATCCTATTTAACGATAACAAGAAACAAGCCACTGAGACATGCTACAGTGTGGGTGAACCTTAAAAACAGTATCCTAGGTGTAAGAAGCCAGACGCAAGGACCACATACTGTATGACTGTTCCTGTGAAAGGCCTAGAACCACAGAGACATAAGGTAGATTAGTGGTGACCCTAGCATTAAGAGTGGATGGGGGTTGGCTGCACATGAGTATAGCTGGTGATAAAAGTTCTAGAATTTGATCCTAGAGATAGTTGCACAGTTATGTAACTTTGTTAAAAACCTTGGGCTTGGACATTTAAAATAGGCAAATTTTATGGCATCCAAGTTCTACTTCATTAAAGCCAATAAAATTCTTTTAAAAAGAGGGATATGCAATGCCTCTCCTTCATAGTATGGCTTGCTTCACTCAGCAGTAAGTCTTCCATATTCATCCACTTCCTGTCAAAAGCCAGATAAATAATAATGTGATTGAATGTATGGAAGAAAATGAAATGAAAATTTTTTAAAAAAAATTTTTAAAAAATACCCTCCACAGCAAAGGAAACAATAGTAAGTGAAGAGACATCCCTTCAAATGAGAGAAAATATTTTCAAATTATGCTTCAAATAAAGGTTGATAATCAGAATATATAGGAAACTCAAAAAAAAAAAAGAGGGAAAACTAAAGAGCAAAGGTGGCTAGATAGACATATATACACAAACACATGCACACTCCGATTAAGAAAGATGAATGTAAGTAGAATTTTCTAACTTGCAAACAACACTTATTTATTATTTTTTTATGTCAGAATTTTATGTGAGGTGCTAACACAACTTAACAAAAGGAGCTTGAACTTTTAAGATCAAAAAGGTCTGTTTAAATTCCAGCTCCTCCACATACCAAATTTGTACTTTGAACAAGTTTCTTCACCCCTCAAGTACCTAGTTTCTCATCTATACATGATAGTACAGTTCTGTCTCATGGGGATATCATGTTAGAGTATGGAAGGCAAGCCAATAATCTGTGACTGTGTGAGGGCTCAAGAGTTTCCTCTAGAGAAGTGGTGATACTATTAATGGTATTGGCATTTTTAAAAATGTATTGTACAAAGTGTTCGCTAATATAAGAAAATCTAGTGAAATGGGTACATGTTCTCCTGTTACTCTAAATACTAAGCTCATATTTTATCAATGATTGTTGAATATTGATGCCTTGATATATTTTTACAGTGTTTCAGGAAATTTAGTAAAAATTAAATTGTAATTAGAAATGTTGGTGGCTCTCAAAGGTAACCACATGATCATTGAATTTGTTTCCTTTCCCACTGAGAATCTAAAAGTAACTTTGTACTTCTTATTTTATGTAGTCCAGATTTTAGTACAGTTTTGAATACCTGTTTAAACCGGGGCTTTAGCAGACTTCTAGACAATATGGCTGAATTCTTTCGACCTACCGAGCAGGACTTGCAGCATGGTAACTCCATGAATAGGTAAGATGACATATAAAGATGTTATCATACTAATTAATGTTTTAAAACATAGTGCTCTGGATATGTTTATGTTTTCTTCCAGGCACAAAGAAATCTTAGAGAATAAATTTGAGTCCCTCCTTTTTTAACAGATTTAACTCTGTTAAACTAATGACTTCTTGAGTAGCAGAAGTTCCTTCTCGATTCAGTATTAGAACTTGCATTTTTTTTTCCCAAAAGCTTTGTCATTATATAAGTACTTATGATGTAAAACTTGCTATAGACCAAATTGCAATTACTAGGTTTTTTTTAACTTTTTACAATACAGAATTGACAATGTATTTAACTTTATGTGTTTTCTAATATTGGCTTGCATAATTTAATACTTTGGTCATTATAATAACCAGGCATTTCTTGCTGTAGATTCTCGTTTGATGAATTATCTCTTTATAGCTTTACAAATACTTAAATGTATTCACTTTTAGTTCATATTATAGGATTGAGAATGTTTGTGTAATTGTTAGTAAATATCATCATTACTAGTAGTCAGGGACTCATGTTGCCAGAAGGTATCTTACAGATTAATTATATCTTTATCATCTCAACATGAGCACTTTTGGTGTCATATTGAAATTTATACTTTTTTTTTTGAAGAGATTTTTGCTATAGGGCATGTGCACTTGCCAGAGAGACAGAAAGCAAGAAATCACCCCCAGAAGGGATGACCATGCCATAATCCCTTCTTTTCCATTCTCCTCTTGGGATTTTGGGCATGCACACATATGTGCCTAGCAATTTTAAGCCACCAGGTCTGGGATTTGAACCATGGTCGACTACGTGGGAGTCCAGTGACTTAACCATGACACTGTCCACTGGCCTCAGAATTTACACTTTTTAAAGACTTCTATTTTACAGTTTCTATATTAAACTCAGAAAACAGTAGGTACAAAATCAATGTTGACTGACTGTAAACTCATCAACTAAAATCGGGAGATGCAATAATATATGCTATTCATGTGCCATATCTAATTGAATTCTTAAATATATAGAGCAAAGGATTGCTTGACCAATTCTGTGGAACCCTATTTACTATATAGACAAGAATATTTGGGGATTAATATTGTATGTTTGAAATGCTTAGAGCCATAAAGTTTACATTCTTGAGCAATTTAAATGTCACACTAAAAATATGTTTTGCCAGTTTTTTTCTTAATGTTGCCACAGGGCATGTGCACTCACTAAAAAGAGAGAGAGAAAGGGATAATTCACCCCCTATGGGCTTTTCATGCTACAATTCCTTCTCCAGTTTTCCTTCCTTGTCTGTATTTTAGGTATGCATGCACAGGTACCCAGCATGTTTTTAAGCCACAAGGTCCAGGATTTGAACCACACTGTCAACCATGTGGGATCTAGCCACCTTAACCACTACACCACTGACTGGGCAACAATTCTTTTAAGTTATACTATACAAAAGTAAAGTTTAGCTCAAGACCAATCCTATATACTGGCTAAATCAGGGTACTCTAGTCAATAAATTTCACTACAATCTGTACCTAGCAAGGTATTAGTTATTTCCCAAGCAGTAATAAAAATTGTAATAGTTACTTCACCACGTAAACATACTTGATCTAATACACTGAAGCTTTATAAAAATTACAGTCCTTTTCTAAACTCCTGTAGTGCTCATTATCTACACTTTGATGTACAGCTATGTGTGCACTACCTTGGAATCTTACTCCTAAATTCACTTTAAGCCTGTTAAAGTCAGGCTGTCTTGTGATCTTTAATCTCTCTTTACATACACTAGGTACTCAGAAGGTATTAACCAGGTTTTTAAAATTTTCATATCAATAACCAGTTTCATGCTCTGCGATTCAACACTAGAAACATTTCTATTGTGCCTGCTGTCATTCGTATTGTTGAACATGTAAAAATTCATAGTAAGTCAAGAAAAAAGTAAGATTGTTATTTATTGGCAAAGACACAAAGTTCATAATTTATGTATGTTACAATTAATAATCTAGGCCCCTGAAGAGAACCACCTGAAAATGATGCAGACTAATAAATAGGCTTAAATTTTATGGTTGCACATGTGTGTTATATATATGTATTTGCTTCATATGTTATATATATGTGCTATATATAACATGCCTATATGCATATTTATTAGTATATGTATAATGAATATTTCAAAAGCTTTCCTAATACTAGTAATAATCAATAGAAAATATAATGGGGGGACCAGCAGATGGCATAATGGCTATGCCACTGGACTTCCATGTAGTTGACCGCAGTTCGAGTTCCAGACCTGGTGGCTTAAACTTATGCCAGGCATGTGTGCATGTGTGCCCAAGATCCTAAGAGGAGAATGGAGAAGAAAGGATTGTAGCATGGTCCTCCCCCACCCCCCCCCCGGGAAGTGATTTCTCACTATCTCCCTGTCTCTTCCTGTCTTTCTGGCAAGCGCACGCACCCTATAGTAAAAACCTCTCAAAAAAAAACCACACACACAAAAATATATATATATATATAATGGGTAAAAGATAGGACCTAAAAAGGGAAATATATAGATGTAAATTATATGTAGATGTAAGAATCCCAAATAAGATATTAACAAATGAATTGCAAAAATACATAGCAACAATAATAGTGGCCAATAATTTTTCCATGTGCTAATATTATGTAGGTATTTTTCAGAACATATCTCATTGAATCCGTTGTTTTTTTTTTTTTTTGAGAGGTTTTTGCTATAGGGCACGTGCGCTCGCCAGACAGAGAGAGACATAGAGACAGAAAGCGAGAAATCACCCCCCAGGGGGGATGGTCACGCCGCAATCCCTTCTCCTCCATTCTCCTCTCGGGATCTTGGGCACGCACGCACACACGTCCGGCATGAGTTTTAAGCCACTGGATCCGGGACGTGAACCGCAGTCGACTACGTGAGAGTCCAGCCACATAGCCATTATGCTAACTGCTGGTTCCCTCATTGAATTCTTAACCCTACAAATTCAGTACTAGTATTTTCCAAGTAAAGAAGCTATGACACACACAAAAAAAACTTCATTTCAAACAACCAGGAAGTGGTAAAGCCTGACAGTCAATAATGTTTGTCTAATAGCAGCTCCCAGGATTTTTAATTATTCTCCAACACTATGACTAAGTAAGTTTTACTTTAAGAATACAAGAAGGGTTACATTAGGAAAACAATTACAGTAATACATAACATTAATAAGTTAATCGGGGAAAAGTGTCTTCATTGTTGCTGAAAAGGCATTCAATAAAACATTTATTATTGATTAAAACTTCTTGCTAGAGTTAAAACATATATTTTTATTTATTGTAATAGAAGATATTTGCAATCAAAAGCAAATATGTTTGATGGTAAAACACTAGAAATTTTTTCATTAAATTTAAAAATGGTATAAAGATAGTAACTAGATATATTATCCAGTATCAATCTGTTATTTTATCCAATGTAGTAATAATGCTAGAAAAAGACCAACTTTGAGAACCAAATTCTAGAAAGTTATTGATTTTTTTATAAATATTTAAATATATTTTAAAAGACAACTTACTGAATGTCCTTACTATTCTAATGAACTGTTACTTAATTCCTGATTTTTAAGTTAATTTTACGCTGTCTTTAAAAGTGTTCAGTGTTGGAAAGTCAGGGGAAAAAACTGTTGTTATATGAAGGTAACGTGATTTTATACTTAGAAATCCAAAAGTGTCAGCTAAAAATTGTAAAATTACTTTTCAAATTAATCTCTAAATGTAGTTAAAGTACTGCCAAAATCTCATTGGAGGAGGTTTCCTTTGTTAATCTAAATCCTGACAAATGAAAATAAAGGTGATCTGGAAGAATAATGTGCCTAGAATATTCAAGAAATTATTGAAAAAGAAAAGCAATGAATGTGCTTTCCCTATTTTTCAAAAAACTTTATCATTTATTTTAACACAGAAAGAGAAACAACAGAGTCTCACACTGTGACCCTCCCCACAGTCTTCCTGTCTGGCACCTGCCCCCTGACATGTACAGGTCACCCTGGGAACTGGATACCAGTCTTGCATGGGCTTCCAGCACTGTAGACCATTGCACTACCCTGCATCACTGTGACTGGACCTTTCCTTTCCCTTTTAAGCATATAATAAAAAGTGTGGGGCCAGCAGGTGGCATAATGGTTAAGGGTGCTGGACCGCCACATGGCTGACTGTGGTTCAAGTCCCAGATCCCCTGGTGGCTTGAGAACACACAAGGAACATGTGCACACATGCCCAAAATCCCAAGAGGAGAATGGAGGAAAAGAGATTGCAGTGTGGCCATCCCCCCCAGAGGTGATTTTTCTCACTTCCCCCAGCCTGTTTCTCTCTGGTGAACACATGTGCCCTATAGCCACGCTTA